GTGTGTTGGCTCCTGCTGCCAAGTTCGGGTCCAGTCAGCAGACCCCTGGCATCAGGTGTCCCCCAAGGACTCTTTTAATACAGTGCCTAACATACAGAGGGAACATTTACTGACTGAATTTTGTGTGCTTTGAATCCTATGGAATTTCACACTCACATCTTTGTATTAGTAAACATTTAACACCCAGACATCTGTTCTCTAATAACCCTCATGCATTCTCATATACTACCTAGCACATTTCCATTTAGAGTTCTAAAGTGTGTGGAAGACAGGAGCGACCTGAAGGCTAAACAGAAGTTAACTAATCGGAGTGAGGACAGGGACATAAAAGATGGCATGGATGGAGCCATTCCTATGCAGGAAGCACACAGCTTAGAGTTCACTTTGCTCTCTGAGGTACCCTGTGAAACATGACTGCAGATGACATAGCTAATGGTTTTCCAGTCATACTTGTGGTAGAGGATTTATTTTTGCTTAACTTGAATTATCAAACTGGCCCACTCAAGTAATATGCTTGGAACACAGACATAGTAAATCAATGGACTCATCCATTGGTCACTCAATCAAGTATGGATTTGGGGAGCATGTTTCATGTTAGGCAGATACACTCCTTATGACACCAGGCCATGAGTAAAGATTCCTGATAGAGAAGAGCAAGGACACTGACTTGATGGCTTCTGATGTGGATGACTGACTACATGGTGATGGTCGCAGTGCAAAACTAAATAGGAAGCATAGGTTGATTAATAAGATAGGCAGTTGATTGATAAGGTAGATTTTGTTATACAGCAGCACTTCTTGTTATTTGAGTTTCCCGCTGTGGACCTAGTGAGCATCACTAGTGTACATTGGGAAAACACTGTTTTTGTGCTAAAGACATGTCTACAAGTAGAGATACAGAAATCATCGGTGTAGAGTTGATGGCTAAAACCATGGTGATGAAAAGATGCCCTCCTCCTCCAGGACAAACTATACAGAGAAGATTAAATACAGGTGTCTAGAATGTGCTTTAGTGTTAGGGCAGTGGCTCTTAGTCAAGGAGACTGGAGTGTATATTGCCTTGAGATTTACAAGTATAGACAGAGTCACACTTTGAATCACAGGTAGCTCAGCTCATAGGAATATGTGTTTGGAAAATCTGTCTAGTTGATTGGAAGCCACAGTTCTTAAACCATTGGCAGAGTAGTGCATGCGCACATGCACATGAAATAACCATCACCGACTTCCTGACTCTGTGGGCTCACCCTGCCTCAATCAACTCTGGCAGGCAAAAGCCTAATCTGCCACCAGTCCCCAGCTCTCTTGAGTAAAGAGCACTCACACACACACACACACACGTGTGTGAACAAACACAGCCTTCCTCTGTTATTTGTTGCCTCTTGTGCTCCTGTCCATCACAAACATTGCATTTTACTTGTGTGCACTCCCAAGTTCCCTGCCCCCTCCTAAAAGGGGAATTCCATCCACGTATGCTGTATCTTCCACCCCTATATCTGTGCTTTTCAGAGTGGTAATTACATGGAAGTATCTCCCTTACTGTCGGTTGAATGAATAAGCATTTAAGCAACAGAGAAACAAGAGTGGCTGCAATAAGTGGATTCAGCTGTTTAGGAGAGTAGAGTTACACAGGTTCTTAGGATGAGCAAGGAATCAACCTTTCCAGAGGAGCGTGTGCACTGGCACAGAGACAGAACAGAGAGGAAGACAGAACAGAGCCTGGGCTAGAAAGGTGGGTGGGCCACAGAGAACACAGGCCAATGTAGTGCAATGGGCAAAGTCTAAGCAAGATTGAAGGTTTGAGGCTTGAATCAATAGGAAATTGAGTTTCATTATTTGAAGATTTGAATTAACTGTCAGTAAAAATAAATGGGTTTGTGAGAAACCTAGAATTATGAATGACAGTAATAAGATTATAGAAAAAGAGGGGAAATTAAACAGAGTTGTAAGGCGGAAAGAAGCGTAATTTGTTGGTATTTGGAAAATTATATTAAGTGTATTACCATTCAATATCCCTTACAATAGATCATTTTCTCTGAAGACATTTTCACCCACTGCTTCCTTAGACTTTTAGCGGGCTGTCTAGAACTGCCTAGCCAAGTGACAAGTCATTAGCATGCGTCACTGTAACTCCATTGCTTTTGAGACTGCTTTTTACCAGATCTGGGCCAGTGAGCTACCTTAGCAGGTAGATGCTTGCCACCAAGCCTCACCACCTGAGCCCTGTTGCTTGGGCCCACAGGGAGAAAGGCAAGAGCAGACTCTGAAGCTGTCCTCTGTTGTCCACATGTCTGTCCTCCATGCCCCACACACATACGTGAGGTAAGTTAAAGGGTGTATTGAAAACTTAATTATTTTTCCAGATCTGTGTCTGTGTTAAGATTATAGAAACATTGGGGCTGTCCCGAATCTTCAGTAATGTGGAGCCCAAGCAATTGACCAGCACCCACCGAGACCACACAGTACAACTAAGGATATATTTTAACTTGCAAAGGAAGAAATTTTGGAGTGAGTAAATGACTAACCAAAATTTGACTACCAGCTAGTTTGTGAGTTTTAAGTTTTCATAACCATTTATAGTTTATTTGAGGGCTAAGTAATTTTGTTAATTTTGAGATAGTTATTTAAAGATTAGTCAATATCTAGATTTTTAAATATATAATTTATACACATATGTACAAATAATTAAGAAACACATACATGTGACGTGGATGAATCACTGGGGCTCAGTGAAAGTAGGATTACTTTGTGGACCTGTCTGTGCCTTCAAGAGAGCAAATTTTACACAGACATGAAGGAAAACTGTATTGAAATGACATTCAAGAAGAGCAGAAACCAAAATATAGCAGTAGCTCATAGCACCATGTTTGAATTCTCAGGGACACTGGGGCCACATTAATTCTGCACACCTCTGATGTCCATCCCATGTGCAAATTAGCATTGGAAAGACCATAATTTGTCTTCATGAAAGCTGTTTTCCCTGCAAAGATGCAAATCCTTCATGTTTCCATAATTAACTTTGTAAACTTCAAACCTCACTTTTTTAGGTTTTTTTTAAATGTTAAATCTTATTGGAAAATATAAAGGAGTTCACTGGTAAAAGTAAAAAATAAAATGAAAATGAAACAAGACTTTTCCTAAATTTATTGTTTAAGCAAATATAAGAACACAATAATGAAAACAAATTTCAGCTTAGGCTTAGATTTTAAAACATCTTGTTTTAATTAAATGTATAGTGTGAAAATATTAGGAAATAGTAATGGCTTAATCAATATTTGCTGAGCTTAAACTTTACTTTTTCAAATTCAAAATTTTAAAATATTTCTTTCAGTGGGTTATTTTAATTTGCTATATATTTTTATCTTTCAAGTTTTGCTTTTTTCTAAATATAACATTTATATGAAAAAACACCCAGTTATTATTTCATGGGCACCATGTCTTTTTGGATTGTAATTATTAAAAAGTGTGAGTTTTCTCCCAGTTACTTAGTAGGACAGCTGTTTTCCTCTGAGGTTTTTTGTTTCTCCTTGACTTTCCCAATTAGGAAATAAATCTAGCTGGGAACTGAGTGTGTGATTGAACTTTTGATGGAGAGACTTCATCACACCACAGTGCAACCTTTTAATTGCAGTTTTTCACAAGGTTGAGGACTGAGCACTCGTCTCCGGAAGTTTGCTCTGATTTTGAGAAAATGCAGTCGTTTTGCTTAGGTTCAGCTGACTGTTCACGTACATATGAGCAGAGGAAGAACCATATGAGGATTGTAGGATGAAATGAACCATTCTAGTGCCTCCATCACCTTGAGCACACACACAGCACCATGTCAGTTTGGTGGGGGCTGGACTCTGCACAACAGAGTGTCTACATCTGTGTCTTATGAGTCCGTGAAAGGTGTGATGTGAAGACACAGGCCAGGGACTCACTTGCTCCACCCTCTTCAGCTTCATTCCTCAAGCTTGCTTTCTGCAGTGACCATGGCCTTTCCTGGACTTCTGTGGGACAGATTGCTCTAGTTTTCTTGGACATCAGCCTCTAATACCTATATCGACATTCCTTTTTCTCAGACTTTCTCTGCTAGTTACAAGTTGCCTGACTTCTAAGACCCCTTGCTGTCTCGAGCTTATGTTCTTGTCTTCTGTCCTCTTTCTCATGAATGGTTAGAACAGTTTGTTCTTTTAGTCTTATCTGGTGAGTTCTGTTGAGGATTTGGCAGAACCAGCAGAGCCAGTTGCCAGGTTATACCAAGAGCATAATACCACAGTGACTGTGCCGTGGGCGTGTGGGTCTAGTCTTTGATGGCAAACCACTAATACTAAAGGAATCACAAAGCTCACAATAAAATAGGATGCTACTGGCTACAGCAAGGAACTTCTCTTAATGTCTGGCTCAGCATGTTTACTGATCCACGTCCTCGTCAGCCTCCACACCAGGTGCTTCATTCACATGAGCTTACTTGTTGCTCAAAGCAGCCCCATGTGGAAGTCAAGACTCATGGAGGCCAGGTGACCTGGTGAGGAAGTGAGCAGCAAAGGAGAACTGAGGTGTGACTAGGGGTGGGCTGACTCCGAGGCAGTGCCCTTCACACTGGACCAGATAAGCAGATAAGCCTTCACTGGGGTGTGCTATGAGATCTGAAGAAAAATGGTTTCAGTAAGAACTGCCCAACGGCTGAACTGTTGTTTGGCTTTTTTTTTTTTTTTTGAGATTTATACAACTTTAAAAGAAGACATTTTTGCTTACAATATGAATTTTGAAAACTCTGGCACTTTTAAATTAATTGAATATTTAACATCATGATATATTTAAAACCCATGAAAATCCCAGTAGAATAGTTTGAGTGTCTCCATCGTTAGCCAGGTAGGAAAGGAAGAGTCCCAGAGGCCAGAATCCTGACAGCGGCCAGGGTTGAAGTGGGGCGCAAGTATTCCAGTTCCAAACCCTTGTTTTCTCTGAATCAGTTCTCTGGAAGTCTAACCATGAATATTGCCTAACTGTCCTTTCAGGTTTTTGCCATTTTCCTCCCACCATAAAAAAGAGAAGTACATCCCAATGATACACTCATCAAGCAAGTACAATGGTGACTCTTACGGACACAAGCACTTCCGCAGTCAAGACCCTAAAAAGTGGATCAGCAACAAGGTAGGTTCCTGATGCAGTAGACACCGATGATATGACAGCATTAGGAAACAGTACCACTTTTAAAAGACTGAAGATAGACATTGATGATAGTAAATGCAAGCATCTCATTACAGTTACGATCTTCATAATCTTAAACCTAATTGAAGCTGTTTTTGTAAAGATGGTGGGTACAGCTGACCTGAGTCAGTGAGAGATTTGCATTAATCCTTTGCATTATTGGTTCTTACCATATGTTTTATGATTATATATCCTTTAATCAATAACGTGGATCACCGGCTATGACAGATGATCAGGGTTGCGGTTTGAATGTGAAGTCCCCAAGTGGAATGGAATATTGAGGATGGGGGCCAGATATTTCTTTGTCTCTCAGTCTCTGTGCATATATACCTATATGTGTAGAAAAGGAGAGATGTGTGATTGGCATAGACAACATGTACTATATACACTTGACACATGCATGTGTCTATATCGTGCACATTTGTAAAGTGTACAGAGCATGTAGGCTTAAATGGCATCTGTAAGGGGTGTTGTTGTTCTTGCTGCCATAACAAATCACCCTGAAAGCTCAAGTGAAAAAATTAATAAAGTTGGAAGTGTCACACTGTCTTATTTCAAAATATATTGCATTGCAATAATAATCAAAACAGCATGCATGGTACAGGCATTAAAAGACACACACTGATGGATGGGATAGGAGAGGAAGTACAGAAATACGCCCACATGTGGATGCTCAATTGATACTCACCAATGGCAGCAAATACAATGGCAGAGGATAGGGAAGAGAAAATTGGATTTTCTTATGCAGGAAAATGAAATTGGATCCTTACTTTCCACCACATTAAAAATCAACTTAACACACATTCAAGGTTTAAACATAAGTCCTGAAACTACTAGAGGAAACTGTTGCAATAAGTCTTTCCACTGAAGCCACCTGAGCCCTGCCACCACATGGGCGCTTTCTGCCAGGCCACCCGAGTTCTACCCTCTGCCACGTTAAGGTCCCAAGTAACACACAGAGACTTATATTAGGTACAAATGCTGCTTGGCCAATGACGAGGATTTCTCATCTGCTAGCTCAGTCTTAATTATCATAAATCCATATATTTTATAAGACTTATCGTATTGAGGGTGCCTTTTGCTGGTGCCCTCTCTTGCCGGCAGATCACATGGTGACTCCAGAGCAGAGACCAGGAGGAAGAGCAAGAGAAAAAAAGGATGACTTCCTTCTTGTCTTTGCTTATATATGAGTCTGCCTGTTATGTCACTTCCTGCCTGGATTGAAAGACTTCTTTACTACATTTCCCAGAATCCTCCTGACTCCTAGTCCCACCTATCTTGCTTTCCTGTTGGCCAACAGGCTTTATTTATAAACGAATAAGATAATCAGATACACAGAAGGACCTTCCCCATCAGGAAACAGAAAAACTTCTGATATTGGGCTCAGCAATGCTTTTTGGATATGGCCTCAGATGTATAGGCAGCAAAATGTCAGTATGCAAATGAAATTGCAGCAAACTGAAAAGCTGCACACAAAGAAGCCACCAATCAACAGAGTGAAAAACATCCAGTGCGATGAAGATGTTTAGAACCATACATTGTAATAAGGGTTAAAATATGAAATGTGTAAACAGTTCCTATAGCAAGAAAACAAACATAGGGTTGTGTTTGAGTGAAGGCAATGGCCTAAAACGATAATTTTCAAAAGAAAACATGCAGGTAACTAGTATGGACAGATGTTCAACATCACTAAAATTATCACTGAAAGGCAAATTGAAACCACAATATATCTTCTCATACTTGACAGAGTAACCATTACCAAAAAGGCAAAAGGAAAATGTTGGCCAAATTGTGAGAGAAGGGAACCCATGTGCTCTTTGTGGGAGTGTAGGTTAACATAACCTTGTGCTATTGTTTGACCCAGCAATCAGAATTCTGAGAGTAAGTCAGAAGGGAATGAAATTAGTATGTCAAAGAAAGAAGTGAATGCCATGTTCACTGCAACATCATTCACAATAGGACAGCCACCAAGGGTGAATGTACAAGGAAATGGGTTATACACATAGTGAAATAGTTTTGTGCCATATAAAAAAATGAAAAAAAAATCCTGTAATTCATGATGCCGATATACCTGGAAGACTTTATGCCAGTGACAAAGGTCAGGTACAGAAAGATAGATACTACAGTGAAAAGGAACACAACCATATACAAGATATGGTTATTGATAGTATATTATAAATGATAACAATGAGAACAAGTCACACATGTAGCTGATAACCAGATTGGCCTTCTGAGAAGCTCAATTTCAGATGCCTCCGAGTCCTGGCCTGAACCCCGAGAGAGGAGGAACACCTCCTGTCCTCTCTCTTTATCCCACCCCTCTACGTACCTGTGACCACACCCAAATGGGCATGGTCAGTGGTACAGGTATCCAGAGTCTCTCCTTACAATTCCCCTTTTAGTCTAAAGAAAAGATGTAGTCTTGAAACAAAACTAAATTGTGTCAGTATACAAAATGTCTTAAACATAGGTAAAGGCATATATACATAGAGGATGATAAGGATTTTTTGTTTTGTTTTGCTTTTGTTTTTGCTTTTTCAAGACAGGGTTTCTCTGTGGCTTTGGAGGCTGTCCTGGAACTAGCTCTTGTAAACCAGGCTGGTCTCGAACTCACAGAGATCCACCTGCCTCTGTTTCCTGAGTGCTGGGATTAAAGGCGTGCACCACCAACGCCCAGCTGATGATAAGGATTTTTATGCACCAAACATTGTAAGTAGAGAGAAGACCTGACACTGTAAGACAAATTGTCACATACAAATTAGCCAGGAAAGGAATACAACTTGATTGTACATGAGTTACATCATACGAGAATCTATAATAATGTAAGTTGTCTATAGCTAAATAATCATTAAGATAAATCACAAAAAGATATAATAATCTACCTATGTCTCATCCTAGCCATCTCTATCCCATCTAAACTCTAAAGTCATCTGAAAGAGATGTCCAAGCCTGAACACCTCCTTCCAAACCCAACCCTAAACAATAGAAAACTAATCCTAACTAGGTGTATATTATCCTTAGTGTCTATAGAGGGGAAAGGGAGTGTGGTATTTTCAGAGTTACTTCCTGCTGATAGGGGTTGACGATAGCCTCATGGGGTCCCATAGGAAGAAAATGTTAGAGTAAAAGTCTTGAATGAACTAGCTACAATATTTGTACTCAATCGGGAGATGCTTGATTGAATTTCTTGATAGAAGTCCTTATCTTGATTGAAGTCCTTGTTTTGATTGAAGTTCTATCTGAAGCTCTGTCAGAGTGTAATCAGAACGTGCACCATCTCAGCTAAGCTGCTCTGGAGTTGTCTAGAGGGATGTAGTCCCAAACTGGTTTTAGAGTGGTGATTGACGCATCAAGTTGGATCCGGTGGAATCGATGAGGTGGGGCCCCATTTTCTTTTCGGAGAGTTCCAAGATTGCTGTTAGGAGATTCTTTGTTTGTTGTGGGGAACTTAAAATTTCAACTTTTATAGGTATGCATACCAGGAAGGACAACAATAGGGAAGATAATAGTTATGAAAGAATTTAGACTTTCAGAGAAAGAACCGAGAATAAACAAATGACAGTTCCTTGATTTTTTCTTTTTGTGTCTTACATCAATTATCAATTGGCTTCATGATATAATACAGAAACTCTGAATTTTGTTTTAGGAAATCAGATTCCTGGTAGAGAATAGAATAGTGGGTCCCAAGGACTCGAAGGTGGAGCAGGACTAAAGTCCTGCGCAGAGCCTCTGCCCTGTGCCTCTCTGCTAAGGGCAGCATGGGAAGCTGGAGCAGTCTTCCTACCCTTTTGATACCAGGGGAAACCACTGTGTCCTGAGTGGGGAAGCAGAAGGCATGATGGTCCCTGAGTTGTCTTGTGGGGCCATTATTCCGTTTCCTTGAAGAGGGGTGGCCCAGTTCTCTAGAGTACAGGAAGCCTGTAGCTTGCCCCACCCCATCTGCTTTCTTCACCATTTAGTTCAAGCTGTCGGTGCCTTTGCCCCTCAAATTCCAGCTCTATTCCAGACTTCTGTTGAGGGGCTGATTAAATTCAAGTTGAGCCGTCATCCTTAATATCTCTCAGTAAAACAGAGATGTTGTCTCTGCTATGCTGTACCTTCCTTTAAGAAGTGCCTCGCACACTTCATTTCATCTTAATCCGTAACATAAACACAGGATTTTCAGGGAGAGGGAGTAATTACTTTGAACATACCACAAGGTGCCTATCTTAGTTCTTGTTTTCATTGCTGTGAAGAGACACCATGACCATGGCAACTCTTATAAAGGAAATGTTTAATCGGGGTGGATCGCTTACAGTTTCAGAAGTTTAGTCCATTATTGGCATGGTTGGGAGCATAGCAGTATGCATGCAGACATGGTGCTGAAGGATAGCTGAGAATCCTTCATCCTGCAGGCAACAGGAAGTCTACTGACAGTAAGAAGTCTACTGGCAGTCACACTGAGGGAAGCTAGAGCAAAAGAGACCTCAAAACCCACCCCTACAGTGACACACCTCCTCCAAGAAGGTCACACCTCCTAATAGTGCCACTCCCTTTAGGAGCTATTTTCTTTCAAACCACCAGAGTGCCTTTATGTCTAACATTTTGATTTACTATTGTTACTGATGTGGGTGTATGTGAGAGCATGCATGCATGACACATGTGTGGATGTCTGAAGATGGCTTTCAGGGGTCCGTTCTCTCTTTCTACCCTGAGTTCCAGGCATGGAAGTCAGTCCTAGGCTTGCTGAGCCATCTCACCTGTCCAGGAGGCATCTTTTAAATTATACCTAAGTCATTCTGTTTAAAGACCATCTTCAACACTAGTAATTCCCAGTATAAGGTTAGACAGTAAGCTCAGTTGGTTTACCCTAGGAACTGATTGGCAGACTGAGGTGGGGTTAGCATGTCATTCTAGAAAATACCACAACCAACCTATTCTTGACATCTTCCACCAATATGCAA